AACCCTATACACTTTTTACAAAAAATTGATCAGAAAACAGGCATTCTTTTATATTTTACTATTTTTTTTTCTTGTTATATTGTTTATAATTAATAGATTGAGGAATACTAAGAAAGCTGATGTCTAACTTGAAAAAATGAAGGAGGGAGAGGGTAGAGAATGATGTCCTGGGTCGCTAAAGACCCGAGGTATGCATTTAAAGGGGTAGTTGATTGCAATTTCACTTTTTTAACGTTAGTTTGTGTGTGATGTTGCTGTTTGAGCATAAACAATATCTGCAAAGTTAAGAAGTTGAAAGTTCAATGCAAACGGAGATATCATCTTTTAAAATTATGGCAGTTTATTGCCTACAAAAACAATAAATTAAGTGAAAAATTATGCGTTTTTAAAAAAACGAAGCATGATACATGTACATGTACATGGACTGCAGCCCATAAACACAATCAAGCCTAGAACAAAACAACTCAACCACCCCTTTAAGGGTTAAATCAGTGGTTCTCAACCTTTTTTTCCACTGGGCCACACTATGGTCCAAATGCAAGTCTCACGGGCTGCACACGTATAATTTGCATATCATTTACATGTTGCGTCACCAATACAAACCAACCAGATTTATAATATTATAGCCTAAATATTTAATATTATTATGATATCTAATTACATTCATTGAAATAAATAAAGAAATAATTCTACTCACCATTAATAAAACACCTGAAGCTGTCAGCAGCTGACCAATTTTGTAAAATTCAGCTCGAAAGGAGTAACAGCACAATGAAGTTGCGATTGTAAGTTGCAGTCTGTAAGACATGCACGGAAGCGTGACTTGACGCACGACATTGCAGAAAATGTGCGTTCTTGATCCAAATATGGAAAGCACTTTCAAATTTAATAATCTGAGGTTCTCTCCAGAGATGTTTTGTCACATTTCTGCAATTAAGGATGATTGCTGCGTAGCTAGGTATGGGTGTTTCCTTTTGCCTGAACATCTTCAAGTGAGTGGCGGGGCAAACCGAAAGTTGATGCCGAAAGTCCAGCACTCTCCCTCACTGCTGATACTGCCACTATTCTTGTTTGTATGTGTTCCTTCACTGGCATTTTCCACATTTCGTTTTTCTCCCTTAATAACAAATTTGTCCATTCTGATGCTCAATTTTACCGAACTAATGGCTGCTGCTGACTATTTAAATTGAATTCTGCCAAAGTGCATGCTTGTAAGTGTTCGTTAAATGCGTAACGTTAATTATGTGAGTAGCCTACAGGTCTGCTCATGTCTGAAAATAATATATGAAAAACAAAATTATTTTACATAACAAAAACATTATAGCTTATATTTTTTTAGTACATTTTTAAATTAATGTAAAAACTAAAATGAATTGTAAAACTGAAAGTATTTTTTTTTTAATTGTGTTCAGCATGGTGGGCCGCGTTTGAATTTGTGACGGGCCGCGGGTTGAGAACCACTGGGTTAAATGGATGTATTAGCACATTCTCTTCACATATTTATCAATATTAATTAAAACTGTTGCGCGTTTGGATCTTTATTTTCAGTGTGTGGACATTTTTTTTCTTTTTCTTTTGCACATTTTTCAACTCTTATTATTGACAAAGTAAAAAAAAAAAAAAACAACAACAGCGTTTCAGGCAGTCGTGCACCGGACGAGAAGTGCAGCGTCGCGCCGCGCCACGTCTTTAAAATTAAAATACATTATTTTCTATGAGTGTAGGCACACCGGTGGCGCCATTCGGCATCTGTCCGCGGCGCCCAGCTACGTCGTGTTATACTTGTAAGAATTGTTCTAGACATGTCGAAAATTTGAAGCTACTGCACAGCAGCTCTTCTTCTTCGTTTTCTCTGATGCACTAACTCTGCAGCAGCACTTCTTCTTCGTCGTCTCGTCTGATGCACTCACTCAACCAAGCATTTTAACCACAACCTCTCCCCTCCCCACCCCCCAACCATTCGAATTTCTGTAGG